CGTATACTAAATGATAAAGATACTATTATTACTCATAATTTTATGTATAAACTTATCTACTTAGTTGAAAGGCTTTTTATAAACACTTTGATTAAGTCTGAGTTTTCCCGTCATTCAGAGTTACTGAGAGAGGCCAGCCTATACCTGAAGTACTATGTCACGTTGGATGTAAAATTCAGCTGCCTGTGGAATTTCATTTTACTACTTGGATTGTATTTAAAGTGCGCGTTTTTGTTAAGTGGCGTATGTCCACTCGTGTTAACCTGGAGGAAACTGAAACGGCAGCATGAGTTTCCAGGCTGCTGTGATAGGTGGCTTGTCTTTCATTGCAGCAGACAGCGAGCAGGCTGACATCGCGAGGATGCTCTACAAAGACACGTGTCACGAGGTACTGTCCTGCCTGGTAGCTCAGCTCTCGCTGACTCCAAGTGGATGCACTTTAGAATTCCACTCTTCTTACGTACATTTTAATTTTGACATTCCCTTTAAATTTAATTTTAATTTCCCAGGGAATTAATGCAAATAGGCGGGAATATTCTAGCAGAACTGTCCTCGGGGAGGTCCTGGGAGCTAGACTTAGTCACTGAGTAACTTCTGCAAGGGGACTGTCTGTAACCACCCTTTCGAGTATTAGGTATGTAAGAGCACGTGACTGTGTTGCACTGGGCAGGCTCTCAACGACTGTTCTTTTTGAGGGAAAGACTCAGATTTGAGTTCTTAGGAGACGATGCAGGCAAAAAAGCAGCCAAATAATGCATTCATATTTGTACAGTAAATGAGACACGTGTTCAGGGAGGGTTTCTGTTGGGCTTACTTGAAACACTCACCTGTAACCATACTGTGTTTGCAGAAGTGTCTCGACGTATAGGAAAAAGTTCTGTTTCTTGATTCTATTTCTAATTTAACTTTAAAAAGAAATCCATCAAACATACACTCATTGAGTGTCTGCTGTGTTAGGGGGAATACAGCGGCTTCCTTGCGGGGGTCTGTGTTCTGAAGAGGGAGACCCACAAAAGGATGAGGCAGAATAGGTTTCCTTACCAGTTGTGACAGAGCGTTGTGAAAGGAAGCAGGACTGAAACGGAGAGTGAGGCAAAGTCAAGGCTGCTTTCCCTGGCAGTGGGGGTTGTGCACGGGCCGATCAGGAAGACGTGGCTGAGGAAATGCCTTTGACCTGAGTGCAGACTGGAGCAGTGCCAGGGAGGCGGGAAGGTGGCGGTCGGGTGCGCTGGGCGCCACGTGCTGTCTGGGACCTCAGGGAGGCTCCAGCAGGAGCGCGGCAGGCCCTCCCGGTGCCACTCACTGGAAACTTACAGTTTTAAGCCCAAGACTGTACACGTGACAGGACGTCACTTTGTGTGGACTTGATTTGGGTAGGCTGAGGCGCGCGTGTGTTCTGTGTAGGCTGAAACAGCCGCTTTTCTTTTCCAGCTGGATGAGCTACAGCTTTGCAAGAACTGCTTCTATTTGTCAAACGCCCGTCCTGACAACTGGTTCTGCTATCCCTGTGTATGTGACATTTCGAGATTTCTGGTTTTTTACCTCTTCGGTGTCTGATGTACTGCTCTATGAAATTGTATTTCCAGTTTGCTTTGAAGAGCATACTCCTTCTAAGTATTTTTCTTTGTATCGTAGTATGTAGGGTTTTAATGAGTGTAAACCTGAAACACAGGAAAAACATCTTGGGAACATTACCCATTTCCGGCCTTTTAACATGAGGTCCTTAAGAATGGGAATAAACCCTGAGTCCCTCTATACAAATGACGACTTGCTTTTCCTCTCCCTCTTGCATAAGAAATCTGAGTCTTTATACATATTTATAGCTGTGTGACTTCCCCTGGGATGGCCTGGTTTAGGGAGGGTGCTGACCAGAAGCCTGTGAGCCTCCCAGGGGCAGCCCCCCCAACACAGGCCAAGAGCCCGCCTGGGAGGCCCCTAGTCCCTGAGACTTTACGGTGTTTCTCAGTCACTCCAGGATCTCTGACGTGGTGGGTCTGGAGAATGGCCTGAACTTCTCCTGTTTCCTGCGGGCTTCCAGGGTCAGACTGTACTCGTGAAGCCAAGTCAGGGCGTTCTGTCTGCCACTCCAACTCACCGTGGCCCTTGACTTCATTCAGAGGCCACCGGCTGACAAAAGATTATTTTCACTGTCTCTCCTGAGAAGTGGAGGGCCACATTGCTATGCAAATTTCAATCTTTTCGGTGTTTTTCTTGGAGGCAAAAATCATTCAGTCCTAGGGTGGAGGTGGGGTAGATCTGTGTGTTCAGGAGTTAGAAAAGAAATATTTTCGAGATAATGTATTATACTTGTATTTCATACTTTAAAAGTAATATGACAAGGTGAAACATTTTATTTCCAGATTCCTAATCATGAACTGGTTTGGGCTAAAATGAAAGGTTTTGGATTCTGGCCAGCCAAAGTCATGCAGAAAGAGGACAATCAGGTTGACGTCCGCTTTTTCGGTCACCACCACCAAAGGTAATCACGGCCTGTGTGCAGCCGTCACCTGGGCCTCTGAGAGTCCCGGGGCCGGCACAGGCCTGCTGTTCCCAGTGCTCTGGGGGCTTCGCCGTCAGAAACAGCGTGAAGTGTACTTTAAATTGAGGAAACAAATCAGCGTGTGACTTGACGGGGCACCTGACAGTGCTTCCTGTACGTGCTGTTCCTGGGTGTGTGTCAGTCACTCAGCAGGACGAGGTCAGTCGTTGGCACTGCTGAACTCGGACGCATGTTAATGCTGGTGTTGAGTGCATGGTGGCGGTGGAGCGGAAGGCGTCTTAGGGTGTGTGTCCCTTTTGTGGCACTGTGATGTCAGTGCAGTCGTTTTAACCATCTTTTCAAGGCTCTGTCAAAGCCGCAGACAAAAATAATCAACTCAGGAGTACAGGAGATCTTGTGATCTAAGAATGTGTATGAGGGGAAAGTTTGATTCAGTTTTTTGAATTTCATTAAATAAAAGTTAATTTAGAAAAATGAAGAATTCAATTATTTTTTTAAAACTACACTACCAGGTGAGAACAGTCTGATAGAATTTTTTACCTGTATTGTCTTCTTTGTCAGTGATTTTAAAACAACGTGATGGTATCTTCAGCCACGAGTGGTCTCTGATTAGCAGTGTGAGTGGGTTTGCTTCACACCGCCCAGCGCACTGCACAGGCAGGGGAGCAGGGGCGCGCTGTGGGCTCCTTGGCCTCCAGCTCGCTGAGCCGCTTCTGCCCTGCACGTTTCCAAGTGCTCAGGGCTGGCGGGTGGGTGGGCGGCCAGATTCGAGTCTGCCTCTGTTTGTTAGGGTTACTCCAGACTGTCAGGTGCTTTCTGTTTGCCTTTTTGTTTTTTGTGTGTGGATCTCAGATTTCATACCCAGTGTTACTCCTTCAAACTGAAATCTGATTATCTGTGGTAACGGAAAGGATTAAAGGAGAACAGGAATGTATTTATGAATTGCCTTGAGACTTCATTAAGTCTCATGCTGAGAACAGATGTGGATCAGTTTTACCATATCCACGTGGTAAATAGATGAGGAAAAAATACTCTCCTGAGTCACAGGTTTGTTCCACATAGTCAGCAGTGTTTATAACTGAAATCTCTCTCAAAACACACTGCATTTAAAAAGTGCTTTAATGCTTTTATTGATTGACTGATACCTAATAGCGCTCAGTAAATGTTTGTTGACTGGAAGAGTAAATACAAATACAAGGTTTAATGGCAAGGAACTCTTCCACAGGCAAAATTTCATCTGCACTCTTTCAAAGTGCGTTTACTTAGGTCTCTAGTAAAGCACTGTCAGGTGAGACACGTTGATGTGATATTTATAAATATTCACATGGCGGTTAAAATTTAACATTTCAGCTATCACTACATGTAACTAGGTTATTATATGTTTAAGTTGTGCTTTTAAATTCTGGAGCAGATGGCTTAGTTTGTACAAGCGAGCTAGAAGTCGACATCTATGGCTTAGGCTCACGTGCCAGGGTCTCTAAGATTCCTTCAGAACAGTAAGATCTAGTACTTCTAAAACCCCGCAGTTAACAGGCCAGGAGTGAGGACCGGGGCGTCGTGTACATCTGAGCAGAAGACTGAGACTTAGAGCTGCACCCCAGCTTGTATCCTCTGCTCCAGGAGACGTCTCGCTCACTGTGGCTCGTGCATCCTCACAGCTCCTGTCTCACCTGTGACTTTCTTTTTGTTGGAAGTCCTCCCCTCATAAGGTCCCATCAAAACCAAGCCCGAATGAAACCTTGTGACCACTCACAACCAAATGAAACCTGCTTCCTCTCCGGATTCACCGACTGTACGCTGCACTGTCTTATCACTGGGTCTTGGTTGGGCAGTGGCCGTATTCATGGAAATGCCAGCCTAATAATTAGGCACAGCGAGTGCCATCACTGGGTTCCAGCTACTAGTTCATAGCTTACGTAATCCCATCAGCTGCCACCTGGACACGGCAACGTCTCCTCCAGCTGTCACGTGAGGCAGGAAAAGTCGTAGGTCCCCTGCACTGTTGTGCTTTGCATTGCCATTGGTCGAACAATAGGCACACGGTCAGCCTCAGTCTGGTTGGTGCAGCCTTCCAGCTGGAGGCTAACCTAAGGCAGTCAGGTGATGAGCACCCAGGAGAGTTCTCTTGAATTTCTGGCTTCTCCCCAGTAGAACCAAATACAGTTTTAGATCAACCGTGTGCTCCTGCTTGATCACTGAATGGAACAAACACGTTTCCATTCGTTAACCGCGGCTCGTCAGATGAACAGGGCTGTAACGTAAACACAGTCACTGCGTGGTGGTCAGGGGCCCTTGTTGTACCTGTAAGGATCTCATGAAAATTTCTGGGCGTTTTCTAATGATTCTGTGGTTCTAACATGCAAATAGCTAGATCTTGAATAGCTGACAGAGTTCAAAACAATAAGAGAGATTAAACACTTTTTAAAGGACTTGTGAATTACTCCAATTCTGAGAACTTTGCTTTGATGCGTGAAAAACAAAAGTCACCTCACCTCTTTTCTACTTGGTAAGTTTTTATTCAGACCACAAGTTGTACTTTACAATAGGTAGGGTTTCTGCCATTTTGGAAGTTTCTAACTACCCCTTTCAACGCTGCTCACAGGGCCTGGATTCCTTCTGAAAACATACAGGACATCACGGTCAACGTTCACCGGCTGCACGTGAAGCGCAGCATGGGCTGGAAGAAGGCTTGTGACGAGCTGGAGCTGCACCAGCGTTTCCTCCGTGAAGGGAGGTTCTGGAAGTCCAAGAACGAGGACCGAGGGGAGGAGGAGGCGGAGTCCAGTATCTCCTCCACCAGTAACGAGCAGGTGAGTGGTGCCCTGCAAACCACCTGTCAGGCGCTGTCCTGCAGGAGCCCACGTCAGCTCACGCGCCTTGCTTTATTCTTCCTTTCACGTAACATTTGTGAAGTGCTCTGCGAAAGAGACCAAACCAGCTCCAGTAAACAGACGAGCCTCCCCCGACCCTGACCCCGGCCCTGCTGGCTCGTGAGCTCTCCCGAGCCCTCGGCCTGAGGACTCATCCCGTGAAGGCCAAGCACGTGGTCTTGAAGGAGCTAATGCAGAGGGCACAGCGCTCGCTCCTCACCCGGGGGCGAAGCAGTGTTTCATAGGCTCTGGAGTAACGTGCTGTCACCTTTGTCATGCCCACAGCTGAAGGTCACTCAAGAACCGAGAGCAAAGAAAGGACGGCGTAATCAGAGTGTGGAGCCCAAAAAAGAAGTGAGTCGGCCGCCTTGACACGTCCAGGTGGCAGTTGACCAGGAAGTGTTTTCACAGCTGTGGTCAAGGCAGCGCTCCTGACAGGTGCTTTCGGAGCGCGTTGCCATTGGTCGAACAGTAGCAGCCAAGCTGGGCGCAGCGCTGTCGCATCACCAGAGTAACGCGCGTGGGGGGAGGGGTCTCCTTATCAGCGAAGCAGCACGGACCTCGTCTGGCTAAAGGGGAGGGCACTTGGCCGCGTTTCCTCCAACTCTGGTATTTTCTCATAGCATTATTAAAAAATAAAGTCTTTATCCAATAAATCAATTAGGCCAGCATTTAAAAACTGAAAGAAACTATGACTAAGCTCAGCCTTTTAAAATTATATAATCCCTGCATATTTTAAAGCCAGGTGTGAATTTGTGCGTGGTCCAGACACATACTCGGCGAGAAGCGGTTTAGGATATTTGTTAATGAATCTACTCCAAAGAAGTGACGATAAATTGATGATGATTTCATATGATAAATTTTTTCCTCTGGTCTATATTAAAAGAAAAAACCATAGTATTAGTATGTAATGAAATTGTAAATGAAGTTCCTGTTTAGAATTATTATACCTAATAGCTGCATGTTTAAAAATTTTTTAATTTATTTTTAATTGTAAAACACACAGAACAATTTTCCATTCTCTAACATGGTTTGTGAACAGCAGTTTGCTGTGTGGCTGTCTACGTGTATCAGTCCATCCTTCTCCTAACAGAGCTTGCTCTTGAACTAGGAAATTCTGTGGCACTTTCTTTACCCTTCAGGAACCAGAGCCTGAAACGGAAGCAGTAAGTTCCAGCCAGGAAATCCCCACGATGCCTCAGCCCATCGAAAAAGTTTCCGTGTCAACTCAGACCAAGAAGTTAAGTGCCTCATCACCAAGAATGCTGCATCGAAGCACGCAGACCACCAGTGACGGAGTGTGTCAGAGCATGTGCCACGACAAATACACCAAAATTTTCAATGACTTTAAAGACCGAATGAAGTCTGATCACAAGCGGGAAACGGAACGAGTTGTACGAGAGGCCCTGGAGAAGGTAACGCAGCCCCGCGGCCAGCGCCGCCTCGTGTGCCGGCCCGATGAGTGGGAGGGCCTCCAGCTCTCTAAAACCGGACAGGCAATAAAGTGTCTCTGTTTTCATCAGTAGCCATACTTTGCTCACCTATTTTTATAGCCCTTAATGAAATGGAGGGAAGAGGTTTCTACCGTTCAGGTAGAAACTGCGTATGAAGGCTTTTGCTTGGTGGTCTGTGTAAATTATGAGCTGACATTGTGGGTTAATTTTTCTTCATTTCAGCTGCGTTCCGAAATGGAAGAAGAAAAAAGACAAGCTGTAAATAAAGCTGTAGCCAATATGCAGGGTGAGATGGACAGAAAATGTAAGCAAGTAAAGGAAAAGTGTAAAGAAGAATTTGTAGAAGAAATCAAGAAGCTAGCCACACAGCACAAACAGCTGATTTCTCAGACCAAGAAGAAGCAGTGGGTAAGCAACACTGTTTCCTTAGGATCTGATTTCTGACACAGTAACATGGGTGTGATGAAAATTAACTCAGAAAGATACATATGGCGTGTGCAGAAATTATTCCTGAAATAAGATCTAATGTGAAATTGTCAACTGTCACTAACTTTTAAAAATTTTATCGAAGGTCTGTAATCTCTCGTCTCCAGGTCCCACATGACAAGTATCGCTCGGGATTATTTTGTTACATTAAGGTGCTGATACTTCAGGACAGAACATACTTAGTACCACTGATCTGTGTCTTCCCTTCTACACAAGTGTTTTATTTGGAAAAGCTGGTTGGCCCTGACTTCTGCTAGTAACTCCTGGTGGTGATATCTAACTTGTAAAATCGTAAATGTTAAGTATCGTAATAGCAAATTAAGCATTTTTCAGATTTTTACTGCGTTTAACATTTATGCATTAGATTCTGTTAAAGAAATCAATTACTTTTACTTCATAGCAGTAACATCTTACTGGTCTTTAACTTCACTTAAACACTGACAAATAGTTCGTTTTTTATTACATTCTGTTTGTGACTCTTGTCTCCCACCTGTTTTAGCAGCTTCTGAGTAGACATTCTCCGCAGATCTCAGTTAATTGGCAGGGAAAAAAGTTTTCTTCCCCAAAGCTCTTAACTTGGTTTTAATTTTAATGAATTACTGTATGAACTTTTGTGAGTCTTCATTTGATCCAGACTACTTTCTGAAATATCTTTAAATACATGTGAAGTCAATGTTTTGTGAGGGAAGTAAACATAAAGATTGTGATAAAGATTTGACAAGGAGGAAAGAGAAACTTAGATATAATTTAGAATAAGAAAACTTAGAAGGAGAAACAGATGAGTAATGAAATATAAATACCGCTGGATGGGAATTAATGTGTTCTCGAGGTGGTAACCAGCAGCGCCGTGACACCAAGTCTGTAATTCTGCCATCCCACAAAGGTAAGAGGAATTGTAACAGCTGGACTTCAAGAAGTGGCCGTAAATTTACTAACGAATCAAGGAAATGGGAAGAGGGGGCTGTGATAATTACGCTGCTTTTTGTAATGTCTTTCCATTTGTGAAATAGCTGAAGTTGGTATTATTATACGTGTCTGTTTGATTCCACACATAAATGATACCATGTGGTTTTGGTCTTTCTCTGACCTGCCTCACCCAGCATGATTCCTCAGGGTCCATCCACGGTGTCACACACGGCAGGATTTCCTTCCACCGCGTGACTGAATAACCGTCCATCGTTATCGTCACACGTCCATGTGGCGTGTCTGTGTGTGTGTAGTAATGAATACACGTACACACACAGACACGCCACATCTTAATCCATTCATCCACTGATGGACACTCAGGTTGTGTTTGCTTGTCTTGGCTGTTGTAAATATGCTGCAGTGAACCGGAGGGTCCCTGTTCCCATTTCCTTTGGGCAAATACCCAGAAGTGGAATTGCTGGATCGTACATGGGCGTTCTATTTTTAATGTTTTGAGGAATCTCCACACTGGTTTCCATAGTGGCTGCACAAATTTACATTCCCACCAACAGTGTAGGAGGCTCCGTTCCCTTCACATCCTCGCCAACACTTGTCTTTGATGGTGTTCATTCTGACAGGTGTGAGGTGTCTCATTGGGATTTTGGTGTGTGTTTCCCTGATTGTTAGTGGTGTTGAGCCGTTCATGTGTGTCTGTTGACATTCTTTGGAAAAATATTTAGGTCCTTTGCCTGTTTTTAAAAAATTTTATTGAAGTATAGTTGATTTACAATACTGTGTTAGTTTCAGTTGCACAAAAAAGTGATTCGGGGGTGTGTGTGTGTGTGTGTTTCATTATAGGTTACTACAAGATACTGAGTATAGTCCCCTGTGCTCTACAGTAGACCCTTCTTGTTTATCTGTCTTCGATACAGTAGCGTGTGCGTGTTAACCCTATGCTCCTAATCTATCCTGCCCCCCACCCACTTACTTATTTTTAATTGTGTTGTTTGGCTTTTTTTCTCTTGAGTTGTCTGAGTTCGTTATGTATTTTGGTATTAACTCCTTACTGGATGTGTGGTTTGCAACTATTTTTTCCCATTCGTAGGTTGTCTTTTTATTTTGTTGATGGTTTTCTTTGCTGTGCAGAAGCTTTTTAGTTTGATATAATTCCACTTGTTTACTTTTAACTTTTGTGGCCTTTGCGTTTGGTGTCAAATAAAAAGAACATCGTTGCCAAGACCAGTGTCTAGGAGCTCATCTACTGTTTTCTTCTAGGCGTTTGAGAGTCTCGGGTCTGTAATCTGCTTTGAGTTGATTCTGTCTGTGGTGTAAGACAGTGGTCCCGCCTCACTCCCTTGCATGTCACTGCCCAGGTTTTCCCAGCGTCACTCACTGGAGAGACTGCCCTTCCCCCACGGCATATTCTTGGCTCCTTTGTCATGAAGTCATTGACCGTATCCGTGTGGGTGTATTTCTGGGCTCTCTATTCCGTTCCATTGATCTTGGTATCTGTTTTGAAGCCAAACTATACTGCTTGATTTATATCCCGGTTTTTTAGATGAGGAATTTGAGGCTAATGAGATGAAACAGAGTGACTAGAAACCCACTTGGCAGAGCTGGGACTCACCCTCCTAAGCTACTTCTGCTCTCATTTCCAGGAGACTAGTGACAGATTTAGAATTATTCGTGTATTATAATTAAACCTTGCACTATTGTAAGAAATAGCACGGTACTGAAGGACAGAGTGTGTGTAGCTATGTCAGATGCCAAAAAAATAGATGTTAAGATGGCATACAGCCAAGAGGAACATAGGAAGAAAGACACACCCTTTAAATACATCCACAAAGAAAGGAAGAAATACAGAGCAAACGCGTAAGTAACAGGATAGTGCTGCCCAAAGTGTTACTTAAAAGTAGGGAAACTAAGAAGCCACGTAAGCTTGGTCTAAACTCACAGGACCGACTAACGCAAGCCCAGATCCAAACCCAGGTCGGACTCATTCCAGTTATTTCCAGAATTAAAACGGGCCATCCACACTTTGTAAATAGTAACTTTACTGAAGCTGCAGTTGTTGACAGAAGATCACAAGAAATACAAAAGTAATTTCAACAGGTTAGAAAGCACAGCACGTGCACTTAGAGGGTAGAATTTTAGGTACGAAACGTAGGCGGTTTCCCCGGGTCCCACGCCCAGGACTCTTACCCTCAGCCGTCAGGTCTAGGTCTGTCGTCTGCAGAACTCACCTGTCTGAACAGACCCATTCTGAGGGCTCACATCCAGACGGCCTCACCCTCCTTGCCTGTGCATCCTCGCTGCGGTGTCTTTCTGATCCCATCACTCTTGTGCCAGCTCGGCTTGAAACCTCAGCTTTTACCCTCTTACCTTGTCCTCCCCAGATTCACATGTGTCCCCCCTGTTAGCCAGCATGTCCTCGATGTGTGTCTGTGTCTGGAGAGTTTGGTCTGTAAGTTCGCAGTAGTCACTGGCCAGGGGCTGACTGCTGTCGTCGCGGTTTTTGTCCTCCACACGCCCTGCACCATTTGTGTCCCTCGTCTCATACGTTCTAGTCTTCTTTTGTGTTTAGTTGACTTTTTGGTAGTGAAATGTTTAACTTCCTTTCCTTTTGTTTATATTCTGTTGCTGTTTCCTTTGTGGTTACCATGGGGACTATATTTAACATCCTAAATTTATGAGACTAATTTGAATTTATAGCCGTTTAACGTCAGCAACACATAAAATCTCTGCTCCTTTACTGGTGATGCCGTGAAATTACGTCGTCATTCACTGTGTACCCAAAAACATAAATTAAAAATTACTTTCTGTGTAGAAAAAAAGATTTGGGATTACAAGCTACTTTACAGTAATAGTATAAAAGCTAGTAACGACTTTTTCCTTTAAATCTATTAGTTTCTCAAATCATGCAAAAAACTGAACGTGCAGTTACAAGCCCTTGTTGGCATGACACCGGCTCTGTAACTGCCCACGTGCGCGCCTTGACCGAGCTCCTTCTTGCTCCGCCTCCGCCTCCCCTGCACGACCGCCTCGAGCACTTCCTCTGTGGCAGGTCCAGTGGTCCTGCAAGCTTTGTTTATCTGGGATTTTAAAGTTTTCTTCCTCATTTTTGATTTTCCAAGGCCAAGAGCTTCCTTTTCCTTTTAGCACTTCGGCTGCATCGGCCCTCTGACGTCTGCCCCCGAGTCAGTCTCTGACATGCGCTGATGGTTACTGACGGCCCTGTGTGCGTGGCCGCTCCCATGAGTCCTGGTGGTTTGTAGACAGCACGTCTCGGGGGGGGGCTCTCTCTGAGTTTATCTTGCTCAGAGTTTTTTGAGCCTCTTGAGTGTTTATAGTCGTCGTGTTCTCTCTGCTCTTTGCTCGCGTCTCCTGCTGGGGCTCCCTCGGAGCACAGCTTGGTCCTTGGGATGGTGTCCCACAGGTCCCTTTAGCTGTTGGCTTTTCTCCAGTCTTTTTCCTGACGTGTTGAATTTCATTGTCCTGTCTTGTGCCTGCTCAAACCTGCCTTTGAATCCCTGCAGTTTTTCACCTCAGTTAACAGGTTTTCTTTTTGGTTTCTGCTTCTTACTGGCATTTCCATTTTGTTCATAACATTGTTTTCTTGACTCTCTCCACATCATCCTTTATTTCTCTGAGCTTCTTCAATAGTTGTTTAAAAGTCTTCATCTAGTATATCGGCCAGGATGTCTTTTTCATGGACAGATTCTGCTGATTTTTTTCCCTTTGAGTGGTCATGCCTTCCTGTCTCTGTGTGCCTTGTGATGTTTTTGACGTTGAACACTGGACGTTTGATTCTAATAACAGGGTTACTACAGCTCATTTTCTCCCCCTTTGCCTAGTTTGCTCGTTTGTTTTTCTTTATGGTGTGAATCAAATGCCGTCTTAGATCTTCTCTGAGCCTTTCCTTGGGCATTCACATTTCACTTCCGAATTTTCCCCATATGTGCAGTTGGTTTTGAATGTCTGGCTTGCAGAAGGGGCCCTAGAAGGGCCCTGGGCCTTTAACTCTTCTGGACGTCACTTTGGCTGGAGGAAGAGGGGCTTGCGGCCGTGAGGGAGGTGCAACAGCAGTGGCTGCCCCTGCGTGTGGTCAGAAGCAGCCGGCAGCAGGACAGAATCCTTGCTGCCCACCGGGCGCATTGCACCACGCAGGAGCCTGGGGCTAAGCGTGAGGATGGGTGGCTGTCCCTGTCCTCAGAGCTGGAACTGACCAAAATTAACCATAATTTACTGTTCAAGCCTCCTGCTGAAAGTTGCAAGCCTTCAATAGACTTCAGAGTTCCAAAATAGTTATTTCAGACAGATTCTACAATAGAGTTGTTGTCCAGGTGGGAAGACAGATTCCTGGTGCTTCCTGCTCTGCCATCTTCTCTATTTTAATAAAATAGAAGTTACTTGTGTGTGCTGATGGGAATGACCCAGTAGAGATGAAAAAAGTTGATGTGGTACCACGTTTGCTCACCAGTGGCTGTGTGCTGTTTCCTGCCATCCGTAGTCCGGTGTCTTGGTGATATGAGTTTAAGGTTAAGCCAGAACGATCTGTAAACACACAACATCCAAAAAGTCCACGATTGTAGCCCGTTTCCTGTGCGTTTCCTCCCATCTAACGCGGGTCACGGTTTCTCGTCTGCAGTGCTACAACTGTGAGGAGGAGGCCATGTACCACTGCTGCTGGAACACGTCCTACTGCTCCATCAAGTGCCAGCAGGAGCACTGGCACGCGGAACACAAGCGCACCTGTCGCCGGAAAAGATGAAGGCTGGTTCTTCCTGGAGAATCACTGACGGTTATTCTTCTCAGACACAGCGGTTTTTGTTTCCAAGAAGCCAAAATTGTTTAGAATTTGCTTCCCATTTTGCACCAGCCTTTAAACACTTTTCGTGAAGAAATTTTGCACAGTAGTTTAAATCTTTTGTTAATGCTCCTCTGGAGTTTTTCAGGGGGTAAAAGTAACATCAGTGGAGGGTATTATTTTAAATAAATTTTAATTGAGAGTTTGTTGCATTTTCAGCAAATTTTAAAACATTTTTAGGTTTTACAGAGATTTTAACCTTTAAACAACAGATCTTTAAAAAAACAGGTGAACACAAGTGAGTTTAACAAAGAAACATTTAAAATAGATCTGAATGTAAGAACTACAGAACTGTTTCAGAAATAAAACATACTACCTTGATGTGAAATTTATTTCTTAACCTTGTTGAGCTGGTTTTGTTCAGCTTATGTTGCTGTTTAAAGGCATTATCTGTTGGTTATGCCAGTGGGTATGTGATTGAATTTAGGGAACAGGGTTGACACAGCAGGTGCTAGTCCTGCATATTTTTTCTGAAATATTTCCCAATTGTGTTTTTCATTATTTCTTTTCAATATATAACTTTTATAACAAATTATTAGCTTTGATCTTGTAGTTTTAAATTGCAGGGAACTGGGGTAATCTTTTACTGAGCTGGATCTTAGAGAAAAAATATTTAAATTTTAAAGTTTGCACATTTCATCTTTGTCCTAACATGAGTGCTTGTAACAGAATAAACAACAAAAATAAAAAAGCCAAAAGCCACCTTTATCCATACGTGAAATTATCGATGAGGCAAACAAATTTCTTCAGTGCTCCCCTTCCCTCCCCGAGTGTCGTCTGATCGCCTGTTATCTGGTGTCACCTCACATATTCTAAGTTAATACTAAGAGGAAAGAAAGCACTTAAGTTTCACAGAAGCCGTTGTTTGTAGTAATGGATCATTGCCTACTAATGGACTCCATCACTGTACACAGAATGAAGAATAATGCATGTTAATTTTCTTGTATTAAAGATGCCGTGATTTGTAAAAAGTCTGTATTTTGCGGAATGTCTGGATTAAGAAGCATTACCAATAGGAATGGATCGATAGTTGAATAATTTTTTTTATACATAGATATATAAAATACAGCCAGGAAAACTTAAATTACTTTTTTTAAAAGAAAAACTCACAATTTATGTTCTTTCAAAGACTGATCTTAGACCAAGTCAAATTCCCATTTATCATTTAGTTATTTTTTAAGGTTAGAGAAATAATTTGTAAATATTTATTTAGACCTTTGATATTTATTAAAGCAATTACACACAGTGGAAGTGAAAGAATCAGGAGAAAAACCTTTTAAAAAGTTTTCTCCAGGTTTGTCAGGGTCACTCTAAAGATAAAATGTAACTAGGTCTTCTGTGAAATGATCACCCACCCAGTTCCGATGCTGTTGCAGATGATGGTGACACAAGTTAACCGACAAGCTGCCGCCGGTGGCTGCAGGGACTGCGCGGCAGCCCCACATCACACCCGCCCTGAGTCACACAGGGACTTGGCGTTCTCACTCCCGCCTGGTCGCCCTGTGATTAGTCAGTGTTGCCATGGTGCCGTGGTCTGATTGAGACGTCGTAACCAAGAACACTTACCTTCTCTGATTGTTTTCCAAGTTTTAAAACTTCGATCCACCCCTATGAGAGCAAGTTATTGTGGAAATATTTTTGGTGTAAAATCATTCCAGAGTGTGTACTATTTACCGATAGCTGCATGAAAGTAAGATTCGTGTTACTTTGGCTTTTTTTGTCTCCGTTGACACGGTTGCACATTTCCAAGTTACTACAGCGTGAAAACTGTGTGTTAAAAAAAAAACAAAATTAAAAAAAGATTGTGGCCTGGTTTTGTAAAAGTTTTAGGTAAAATTACAATTGATTGTTTTAGGAATCATTATTATAAATTTTCTGCAAATCATAAAGCGATACCAACGTGTTGAGCTTAGCCACTCTGCACATTGTAATTACTCATTGTGGCTGTCCAGTGCTACGATGCATTCTGGCATTTTGTAAGCTGCTCTGACTAGCAATATATAGATTCATTTAATGTGTTAACATTGGTTAATAAATGTATTTAAAAAAAAACTGGCTTTAAAAAACTGTTGATTTAGTCCATTTCTCTAGACCAAACCAAACACAACTCTCTTACACAGTGACCGCACACTTCCTGTGGCCTGTCCCACTGGCGACTGCTCATATAAAACCAGTGTGTTGAATAATTCAGTGAAAATAACTCATTCACTTAAACAGTTATTTAAGTTGAATTTACTTTTACCAGTCGTCAAAAAAATCAGGTTTGTTTGAACTACAAAGACTGTTTTCTTAACCCTTATGCTAAGCTGAACATACAGACAAAATTACTCAATAAACATTTGAAATTCATCAGTATCATCAATTTCAGTACATCATCCCTCCCTGTGTCACTCACTTGCCCAGCCAGTTCACGTGATGCCAACCAACCTTGATTCAGGCCAGTGTCACCCTCCTGACCAGGCCACAGCGCAATAGCGACTTCTTCTCTGCCTTCACCCCTGAGCCAGTGGCCCGCACACGTCCGACGTCAGGACCTCCGGAGAGCTTGTGAGGACCCTGCTGCATCCCACCCCCAGGACTTTTCATTGCTAACAAGTTCCCAAGTGTTGCTGTGAGGCCATCCTTTCAAAGGAAAAACAACAGACCCTTTCTTAAGAAACACATAGACATGCATAAAGTGTAAGTGTTTGACAGGTTCCTGGGGCCCACCTGTAGACTTCGCACCCCCAGAAGGATCCAGGCCCCTCAGGTTAAGGCCCCCTGATCCAGCGGAATTAGAGAAGCAAAAATAAGATAGATAAGGAAAGTCCTGTCACTGTGACCTGATCAGAGCCTCAAACGTTCATGTGCACACAGGTCGCCTGGGATCTACTTAAAATGCATGATCTGACTTGGAAGGTCTGGGCCAGATGGAACTGGTGATTCTGCAGTTTCTCATAAAGTCAAGTCCTGCTGGACAGGGGTTACACCTGAGGCAAGGTCTTAAAGGATATGTTAATCACAGAAGAATAATTCCTACCACACTAAATTATAAACTAAACAGTGCTATTGGGTGACTATATATGAGAGGCATATACATTATTTAAGATTTTTCTAGTCACCATATTAAATATTAAACCACTAAATATCTAATAAACATTTAATGCTAAACAGAACAAAATCAAATAAGCTAGATAAAATTACATAAAAACCATTAAATACTATCTAGTAAAAACATAGAAAGTAGTAAGTCATATTAAAAAGGGACCAATTAAATCAATTATAATAATATATCCTACTTAACCTAATATATCGAGAATATTATTTCAATATTTAAAGAAATATTTTACATTCTTGTTTTGTAATAAGTCTTCAAATCCAGTGTGTGCTTCCTGCTTTCTGCACGTCTCCATTTGGACTTTTCGTTTACGTGTGGCTGATGACACCCACACTGGACAGAGCAACCTGAAGATGAGCTTTGTCCAAGTAAGTGCCCCCACCAGCATCCCACCTGCAGTCAGGACTCATTCATCACATGTGTATTAGAGGGCCAGCTGATACCTAGGAGCTGATAAGAAAAAAACAAACCATTTTTTTTTGCCAGAATTTGACATCTCTGAGGGTAGGCTCTTGTTCTGTTTCAGAGTCTGAGATTTGAGGGCTTCAAGTCAGCAAGCTCTAAACTGACATTTCAATTGTGCAGCCCTGGGAAGGGGCCCTAAGGATCCCTGTGGCTCCACAGGGCAGTTTTAAAACTTCGACCCAGTCCAACTGCATAACCTCACACTGGGGAGAAAGCTGAGACCCAGAGCTACTCAGAGTCAAGAGCCAGGTCCCTGACATCACACGTCCTCTTCCGCAGCCCCATGAAGACCGTCAGTGGCTTACTGAGGTCCTGCAGTGGTAAGAAACAATCCCTACCCTCCAGGGGCAGGACAGTGTCACTGAAGGTATCGACAGCTAAGTAAATTTAGAAGGCACAGTGTGAGCATTAACTTACTCATTCATTTAACAAACACTTGAGCTCCCACAGCATGTTAGGTGCTGAGTGCATGAAAATGAGAACAGACACACTTCCTGTGTCTTCCTGTAGCTTACAGTCTAGTGAGGGCGCCAATCAAGTCAGTGCAACTTTAGTTATAACCCAGAAGTGGTGCAATGAAGGAAAAATACAGGACTGTAGGATACAGAGAAAGCATACACCGGAGGGGAAAGATTAGGGAAGGCTTAAAAACCTGTATGGAAGCTGAACCTTGAAAGGTGAGCAGGAGTCAGCTAGAGAAGGGCAATCCAGTGGACCCAATGCCGATTTGGGACGATTGATTTTTCTCGTTTATATTTTTACTATGAACATAACTTTTAAAACCAGGAAAAGGAGTTATAAAAGAAACAAGTCTCGGCTAGAGAGGTCTGTAGGGTTAAGGGCTACAGGAGAGCAGTTCTTCCCAAGCACGGAGAGAGCTCTGACGTGGGTAAGGAAGCAGGAATGGGGTGATGCCGGGAGAGCACGAGGGTAACTGGCACCAGGGCTGAGGGGACAAGGCTCGGTGCACACGACAGATGATGAAGAAGTGAAGGCTGAAGGAGACTTCTCTTGAGAGCCGTGTCAGTGAACGGGAGAAGGGAAACACTGAGGGAAATCACTTTTAGGCCAAGAGGGACATACAAGTGATGGTGGAACACACCAGCATCATGGCGGCGTGAGGTTTTCCCCCTCTTGTCCTTTTTCAACAAGGAATCGGCCTGCCATCCATGAACAAAAGTGCCTCTGTGGTTGCTGCCATGTGCCCAGAGCCTGTGAGGGGTCTTGCCCACTTCTGCGTCCGGTAATGGTCAGGCAGACCTTGATACAGGCTGTGGAACCCAGGGGGCAATGAACTTGCCCAGCCCTCTGGCTGCGGCTGAAAAACCTGGAGAGTGCTGACCTGGGCAGAAACCCACAGAAGACAGAGAGATGGCAGAAATCCAGCCTCCCCCGGGGGATATTCCAGAGTGAACCTTCTGGAGAGGGAAAAGGTTTGCATACAGTGGAGACGGTCAGGAGGACTCCCAGGGCTACACCTCCCCAACCCGGCCCCCTGAGCCAGGAGTCACCGCGTACCCCGGATCTATCTGGCAGCGGTGACCTCTTTCACAGGAGACAGGAGAACAGTGAGCGAGCCCCTAGCCACACAGTGGTGTGGGAAGCAGCCGGAGAACCAGTTTCCCTTCAGGAGCACTGAGTACTGAAGCAGGACCTCCATGACTGACAAGAGGGAAGCGATCAGAAAGAGGCAGATAAAAATACTGAAGGTCATTGCAGGGTAATGTAGTTCCTGCTAACTGCACCCAGCAAGAAGTCCCCCCAGGAGCCTCCGGGAGTGCCACCCCTGGGACCAGGTCCCCGGGCATCCCAGTGCCCTGAGAGCGAAGCTCACACCTCCTTCCACCCCGCAGTCCGCGTCTTGTGCGTGCTGCCGAGTGCACAGCAAGAGAAAGCTGCAGCAGACAGTGTGATCAGAGAACCGGTCAGGGCCTGTGAGGGAGGGAGAAATGGGAAACTAGATCTGTAGCACCCCCTTCTGGAAAACACAGAAGTGGCTTCCAGTAGCCCGTCCGGTGAGCCTGCAGGAACCAGAAAGGACAGATGTGCTTTAAAAGTCTACCACAAGAGGAACAAGAAGAGTGCAACAAGTGTACCCAGACAAAGGCAGAGTTAGTAACAATACCCACAAACAGAAGACCCCAGCTGAAGGCAACCGGCAAAGATTCAGGGACAAATGCAACTGCAGAACACAAAACTACAGGGAACGCGAAAAATCAAGGAGCCATGTCATCATCCAAAGATGGTAATAATTCTCCAGTAGCCAAACGTAATGGCATGGATTTTGCAATCTAGTTGATAAAGAATTCAAAATAGCTGTTTTGAAGAAACGCAACAAGCTGCAAGAAACTCAGAAAGACAATTCCATGAAATCATGAAAAGAAAAATACTGGTTCAAACTGAGACATTTACCAAAGAAACAGAAATCATAAACCAGAACCAAGCAGAAATTCTGGAGCTGAAAAACTCAATGAGTGAAATGGAAAACCAGCAGAGTAGAGCACGTGGAGACAGAGCGCGTGCGTCAGAGGACAGAGACTCTGAGGCAGCCCAGCTTAGGGGAGGACCAAGAGGAAGAGTGAAGAAGCCCCTGTGATCCACAGGGTTCCAGCGAAAGGACAGGTAGGATAATCAGGGCTCCAGAAGGTGGGGAGAGAGAAGGGGCAGAAAGTTTATTTACAGAAACAATAGCGGAGGATTTCTCAAACCTGGGGGGCAGGTGCTGGATACCCAAATTCACAAAGCTAGTACATCACCCTATTATCCCCACGTAGAAAGGCCTCTCCAAGACACGTTATTTAAAAACTGTCAGAAATCAAAGAAGAAACACTTCCAAGAGCAGCCAAAGGGAAAAAAGATGGTAGCCTACAAAGGGATCCCCATCAGTCTATCAGCAAACTCCTCGGCAGAAACCCTGCCGGCCAGGAGGGAGTGCAATGGCACAGTCAGAGCACTGGGGGGAGGAGCCTCCCGGCTGAAAAACGCTCGCTCAGGCAAAGTTATCCCTCAGATATGAAGGAAAGTAAGTATCTTCCTAGACGAACAAAGGCAGAGGGAGTTCATTACCCTAGACCTGCCTTTCAGGAAACGCTGAAAGGAGTACTTCAAGCTGAAATGAAAGGACACTAATCATGTGACATGACAATATACAACACACTGGGTAAGGCAAATACATAGTCGGACTCACAAAACTCTAATTTGTAATAGGGAGGCATGCCAATCATTTAACTACAGAGTAAGAGTCAGAGGGAAGGTATCAGGAACGACCGCAGCTACTACAATTCGCTGCTGCCTGCGCAGTATAGAGAGAGGTGAGTAACGGCTCACAGAACAAACAGGGGGAGGCCAACAGGCACAGATTCTGTCGATGATCGAAGTCAAGCTGCTGTGAGCTTAAAGAGGACTGTTTCATCTATGAGAAGTCTTATGTAAGGCTCATGGTCACCGCAAAGCAAAAACCTAGAGCACGTGACAAGCAGGGAGGCGAGGCAGAGAGCACTATCACAAAAAAATCACAGATTTACAGATCTCTGTACGGAGAAACAGGGGGAAAAGGAATAATAATAATAAATAATAATAATAATAATAATAATAATAATAATAATAATAAAGAAATGCAAAACAACCATAAAAAACTAACAAGGTGGCATTAAGTATCAGTAATGATGCTAAAAGTAAATGATTGGATTCACCAATCAAAAGTTACAGACTGGCTGACTGGATTGAAAAAAAAAAAAAGACCAGACTATATACTGCCTAAAAGAGCCACATAAACTCAAAGTGAAAGGTGGGAAAAGACACTGCAAGCAAGTGGGAAGCAGAAGAGATCAGGGATTGCTGTGCTTCTACCAGACACAATAGACTTCAGGCCAAAACAACAGTAGGAAACAAAGACAGTCATACTTTAATGATAAGGGGGTCAAGTCATCAGGAGGATAAAAACAGCTGTGGAATACAGGTGCTCCCAACATCAGAGCACCTGCATATATTAAGCAAATAGCAGCAGATCTGCAGGAAGAAGATAGAAAACAATACAGTAATAGCAGGGGGATCCAATACCCCGCTGTCGGCAATTGATAGATACTCCACACAGAAAATCAACCAGAAGACATCGAGCTTAAACCATACATTAGGCCAAACTGGACTAACAGACACGTACAGACATTCCGTCCAGCAGAAGCAGAGCACACGTTCTTCTCAACTGCATGCCGAGCGTTCCCCAGGACGGATCACGAGATAGGACCCAAAACAAGCCTTAGCAGATTTAAGCCTGAAACCCTGCCGAGTTAGCTTTTCCAAGCACAATGGTATGGAACTAGACGCCAGCAACAGAGCAGAGCAGACACATCTATAGATGTGCGGAAGTTCACACACTCCAGCATCACCAGCGGGTCGAAGAAGAAATCAGAAGAGAAGTGAGAAGGTACCCCCAAGTAAATGAAAATGGAGACAAAACACCAAACCCTGCGGGATGCTGCAAATACATTTCTGAGAGGAAATTCTCCACCAATAAATGTGTATAGCGAAAAGACAGGACGCTCTCAAATAAACAACTTAACTTTGCA